GTGTAATGGCTATGTCGCTGGACTCCCATGTAGTTGACTGTGGTTTAAGTCCCGGACCCAGTGGCTTAAACTCACACTGGGCACATGTGTGTTCATGCCCAAGATCCCAAGAGGAGAATGGAGAAGAAACTATTGCGGTGTGGCCTTCCCCCTGGAGGGTGATTTCTCACTTTCTGTCTCTCTGTCTCTCTCTTTCTGGCGAGTGCACATGCCCTGTAGCAAAAACCTCTAAAAAAAAAAGAAAAACAAACAAACAAACAAGCTGAACAGGCATGTCCCAAATCCAGACAAGATTGAGAATGGAGAGGGTACTGACGCATAAACACACCTCACTAGGAGATGCTTTCTCCTTCTCTCTCTTTATATCTGCCTCTCTCTCTCTCTCTTTGTAGCAAATGCATGTGCCCACTGGCAATTTAAAAAAGTAAGAAAGCTCTTGGCTAGAACTGAATCATGGTAGCCACTGAACACATAAACATGATGCACCAGAGACCTGGGCTGTTCATCATGACTGGAAGTTGCCTGATCCACTAACCAAAAGATTATGCACGTCCAGGGTTGTTTCATCATTAAGTGAAAGTGATTGCAGGAGATCTGGCTCCAGAAAGGCTTGAAAGCAATTAGGTTGGATAAACGATGACTGGCTCATTTTTTGCTGCTCTCTCACCTTTGTCTCAACCAACGCCTGTGGCCTAGTAGTGAGTTTTCTATGACCAGCTGACAGAACAAGAAAAAATATCTATTCCTGTTTAAATAAGCCAGCACTGGCTGAAGATGACTATTGCAGCACTGTAGCTCACTATAGGGGGTTCTGGAGGACTGTGAAGAAGAGGGATACCTCATTGTTCCATTTCTGCCTGGGAGCTGAGAAGCCCAGAGGTAGGATCTACTCCGGTTACCGAGCAGTGCCCAGTGGTTGGAACCCTACGGTCTGGGATTTGAGAAGAACAAAACTGGAAGATTAGGGATGAGTGATACTGGTGAATGAACCCAGAGTATGTGAATTCTTATGTCTTATCATATATGAGTACTCCCTAAGACCTTACTGCTGAGAAGGGGCTCGGTAATTGGGACATGATTACCTACCCTGGGTGTCATGCAGCCTCTTTCTCCAGTGGATCCAGGGATTGCTTCAAGGACTTATGTACACTGGACACTGGTGGAATGTGCAGAGGTTCAGTTCCATAAGCATGTGCCCACCAAGGCCACTACGACCGCAGCTAGGTACCCAGCCTGACAGACACAGGAGCCAAACCTGAGCCTTAGATTGAGTGCCAGATCCTTGGGGGCCAGTTTGCTATGAGTGGTAGACTGTTTAAGGTGGATCTCTTCCATCATGGAGAGGGCAATGATTTTCCTCACTGAAATAGATCATTCGTTTAGTCAAAAATATTCATTAAGCACCTACTATGTACCAGATATTGTTCAAAGTACTTGACGTATATCAGTGAACAACAATGACAACAAAGATTGTGGCCCTTAAGCAACTTAGAGTAAGCATAAAAAATAAGTAAATTTTATAGTATGTTTAAAATCGATAAATACTCTGGAGAAAAAGAAGTAAAGCAGGGTAATGGAGCTCAGGTGTGCTGAAGACTGGAGAACAAGTAGTTTCCAAATTTACCCCAGAGTAAATCTCAAATCTCTAATGCATATTAAGTGGAAGGGCATTCTAGACTGAGGGAGTCAAAGAGAGGGGCCAGACTTTCTAACAGGATCTTCATGCCACGATTCACCCCCAGCCTCAGCCTCAGCCCAGATCACGGTCATGCAAGTGTGTACACCTGGTGTGCACAGAGGCCCCGCCCAGATCAAAGACATGGAAGTGTGTACACCTGGTGTGCACAGAGGCCCCAGGGTGTGTATCTAGAACCTTCCCACCTGGGTCTGTTTGCATTACTGCTGGGCCACTGAGTGTAGAGCTCTAGTGCAGAGCCTTAAAACAGAGGGTATTTGCCTCTTGCATGCCAGAGCAGTAAGGAAGGCCGTGTCTGGTGATGCCCAGGAAAGAAGAAGGAGATGAGATAAAGGAGGCAATGGGGAGGGAGAGGTGGAGAGGCACAGTCAAATAGAGCCTGTGCCCATCTAAGGACTCTGGCCTTTACTGTTAGGGCGATGAGCAGTCACTGCAGGGTTTTGAGCACAATGCCCACCATGCTGAGAATGGGCTGTAGAGAGGATGGGACAAGGGAGGGAGACCTGAAACTGCTGCCGGAATAGAAATGAGAAGTGCCTCAGACAACTGTGGAAGCCTGGTGGTGATAAAGGGAGGTGATATTCGGGATGCAGATATTTTAACACTTAATCATGAGAAACATACAAAAGTAGAGAATAGAATGAACCTTCTTTATTCCACATGAGCCCTCCACCCAGCTTCAGCAGCATGGTGCAGGTGTAGACAATTCTTCTATGGATCCCGGTCATTCTGACAGTATTTCAGAGGCCATCCCATCACCACTTTCATCTCTTCCACTATCTATATCCTACCTGGCCTCCCCTCTTCAGATGATTTCAAACCGTATCATGTAACTTAATATACTAATTTCATGAATAATCTATCTTAATATATTTAATCTAATAATTCAGTATAAATTCTAAAAATGAGATTTTTTTTCTTTTTTAGAGAGAGATCTTTGCTATAGTGTGTGTGTGCTTGCCAGAGAGATGGAGAGAGACAGAGAGACAGAGAGACGGAAAGTGAGAAATCATCCCCCAGGGGGAATGGCCATGTCACAATCCCTTCTCCTCCATTCTCCTCTTGGGATCTCGGACACACACACGTGCCTTGCATGAGTTTTAAGCTACCAGGTCTGGGACTCGAACTATGGTAGACTACATGGAAAATTTTTTCTTTTTTATAGAAAGATCTTTGCTATAGTGTATGTGTGCTTGCCAGAGAGATGGAGAGAGACAGAGAGAGAGACGGAAAGTGAGAAATCATCCCCCAGGGGGAATGGCCATGTCACAATCCCTTCTCCTCCATTCTCCTCTCGGGATCTTGGGCATGCACGCACATGTGCCCGGCATGAGTTTAAGCCACCGGGTCCAGGACTCGAACTATGGTAGACTACATGGAAATCCAATGATGTAACCATTCATACCATTTGCTGGTTCCTTCTTTTTAGTTTAATAAAAAGACCCCCACAATACTATCATCTATATCCAAAGCATACAATAATTTCTTAATATCAGTGTACAAATTTCCCTTAGTACTTCATAAGCAAGATTTTATTTATTTAATTTTTTACTTCACTAGTTTGAATTAGGGTCCCAGCAAGGTATGCCCATTCCTTTTGATTGATATGTTTCCTCTTCTCTGCTCTCCACTGCTTTCTTCTCCTTCCCTCTCTTCTTCTCTCCTTCCTTCCCCTGCCCCCCCCCACCTCTCTTCTCCCTCTCTTCCCCTCACCTCTTCTCCCTTTCCCTCTCTTCTCCTCTCCCCTTCTCTCTCCTTTACTTCTCCCTTTCTCTTCTTTCCCTTTCATCTTTTTTTTGAAGAAACTAGGCTGTTTGTCCTGTAGAATTTTTCCAGTTTGGATTTGGCTGATTGCAATCATGGTGTTATTTAACACATTCCTTTGTCCCATATATTTCCTACAAACTGGTAGTTAGGTCTAAAGATTTGACTGAATTCGGTTCAGATATTGGGGCATGGACAACTCATAGGTGGTATTATCTACTTTCGTCAAGAGGCACACAGTGTTTAGCTTTTCTTTTATGTTAAATTTATCAGTAGGTTGAGCATAAAACATCATACAAAATAATTATTTCCTGTTTCTTTCATTCATCCTTCATTTGCTGGAAGAACTATTGACTGTTTGGTAACTTGAAGGCATCTCTTCTACAAGAAAAACAACACTATTTCCTTTGAGTAGAAAACGATGTGTAAAGAATACAACCTCTACAAAGGGTGCTCATTGCTGCTCAGTTAATTACTTCTAGACCTTTTCAGTGGACAGACTTAGGAAATACGTACTTTTTTTTTTCTTTAGAGAGATTTTTTTGCTATAGGGTATGTGTACTCACAGAGAGACAGAAAGACAGAAAGTGAAAAATCACTTCCTGGGTGGGGTGGCCATGCTGCAATCCATTCTCCTCCATTCTCCTCTTGGGATTTTGGGTACATGTGCACATACTCCTGCCCTGAGTTTCAAACCACCAGGTCTGGAACTTGAACCGCAGTTGACTATGTGAGAGTCTAACATGTAAGCATTATGTCATCTGCTGTTCCCCTTATTTCTTTTTTTCTAACGCAGAGTTTACCATAAGTTCATACTGATATTTCCAATTCAGATTTAGGTTTATGGAGTTGCTACATAACTTTTTAATTTTATATTTGTATTTCTTTTCTGTATTTCTTTTCTCTAATGCTGGAAGTCTTTGCTCCTAATGACGTTAACATGACTTCGTGCTTTTGGAAGCTCAGCCTAAGGCCTACTTTTCCAGCGCTGATGATTTTGTGAAATGTTTAATATCTTCATTTAAATTTATTCCTCTGTAATCCATTTATGTTGGATCCTTTTGTCTGAAAGGGAATCCTCTCAGTGCAAACTTTGTAGACAGGAGGGAAATACATTGTCGGCCATTCGAAATTAAGCCAGTCATTGCAGACAATTCTCTAGTGAGAAAAGTGTTGTAAATACGCCAACCAGAGGTCAGGTTCATTGAGTTCTTTTTTGTCTCTGGGCAACTCTCAATTCACTAAAATTTGTGTTTTTGTTTTTCAGAAGCAATCTTTTTCTCTCTTTCTTCCCCTCCTCCAAGTCAAGCACTAGTGAATACATTAAGTTAGGATCAGAAGAGGTACACGTGACCTCTTCATTGTGGGTCCTGCTCATTTTGGTTATCTTTCAGAGGCCTACCCATCCCCACTGTGGAGTAGACGAATTAGAAGGCCTGGACGTAAATGCATATGGGTGAGAACGGGAAAGCTGGAACAAGGTTGACACGCCAGGGTGCTGAGGACTGCGGTGGGCTTGGAGCTTTGGATAAGGGATAAGTCACATGAGTAAGACATTTTTGTAGCTGTCCATGGCCTCTTTATCCTGAGAGCTGACCCTTCCAACTCAGTCATCTGGTAGCTGGCTGTGTCTTCACCTCAGAGTAGACAGGTGAGGTGTCCTGGGATGGAAAAAAGAAAGAAGAAAAACTGGGACGAGAGAGGGTGTGTGAGGCTGAAGGCAGTAATCGGAGGGGAAACAGTGGGGAAATGAAACTTACCTCTCCTCAGGAGGCGTCCTGGAGGGATTGACTGTGGAGGGAAGGGGAACCACTGGATTATGAGCAAAAGGATCCACTTAGAACCCCATCTACTAGCTTATTCTCCACAGCCACTGGGCCCTTTCCACTGATTGTCATGTTCCTGCCACCCTAACCCCCAACACGTCCATAAACAGGTTTCATTTTCTGTTTTACAATTTCCTAACTCAGCCCTCTATAAGTTCTGCTCAAGCTTCATTGATTTGTAAAGTCCTCCCTCAAACCACATTAAGAAAACTCCCTTCTTTACTCTACCTAAGCTGAGAGATTATTTTCTCTTAGTATTTTTTTTTTTTAGAGGTTTTTGCTACAGGGCACGCGCACTCGCCAGAAAGACAGAGACAGAGAGACAGAAAGAGAGAAATCACCCCCCAGGGGGGATGGCCATGCCACAATCCCTTCTCCTCCATTCTCCTCTCGGGATTTTGGGCACGCACACACGCACACCGGGCATGAGTTTAAGCCACCAGGTTCGGGACTCGAACCATCGTTGACTACATGGGAGTCCAGTGACATAGCCATTATGCCAATTGCTGGTCTCTCTCTTAGTTTTAATTCTTGCTTCTCTTAATTTAAAACACTTCCATTTCACTCTAACCACAAAGTTCCATCCTGATTGTCCAGTAAGTTCCCTTGAGAGCGTATATATCCCCTACCTGTACCCTGTGAGAAAAACTCTCTTTTACATTAACACATTCTTGCTTTTGATTTTCGTGCTGTGGTTTCTTAGAGGGGAACCACAGTCAGAGGAACGTTTAGCAGGCATGACTCGTCAGACCAGAAATGAAAAATCTTGGAGAGAAAGGCAGAATCATCTGTGTCACATAGAATCATACAGAGAGGTAGAGCCTAAAAGAACAAAGAAGATAAGATACACCCTGAGAGAGGAAAAGAGAGCCCTAACAGGGTCTTCGCACTGGATCTACTTCTAGTCTCGGACAGTCTAGACAGGCTGTGTGCACACACCTCTGACATGCTCACAGGATTTGAACCCAGGACCTTCCTAAGTGAGTCCAGTTGCATTGCTGTTGTCCCACCATCACTGTTGTTCCACAGGAACTTTTATTTTTTAGGTTTTTGTCACAGGGTGCTTAAGCTCACTGGAAAGGAGAGAGACAGAGTAATTCGGAGAGAGGGAAAGTGAAAAATTACCCCTCATGGAGATGGCCAGGCCTCAATCCCTTTTCCTCTTGGGATTTTAGACATGTGTGCCCACATGCTCAGCGTGATTTTCAAGCCACCAGGTCCAAGACTTGAACTGTGGTCAGCCATGTGGCAGTCTAGCACCTTAACCACTACAGCACCTGCTGACTCCCCTACAGATACTTTTAATGATATAAAGAGAACTAGGTACTCTCCCCTGAATAATGGTTGTATGCACAGCACTTGGCATATGATATCAGAGGCTTCATGTAAATCTGAGGTAGAGGAAAAAAAAAAAAAACCTTTTCAGAGATCATGTACTTGAAATAGAACTTGTCCATCAGCAGAATGCTCAGATTAGCAGGTATTTTGACAAATATGTCAAGGATCAAGGGTGAAGAATAGCAAAATGATCAAGGCAGTTTCTAGAGAAGATGTTCTCAATCCATCCAAATACATGTCCATTTTAACTGTCATTCAAACACTCCTGAACAATGGAGGATGGCTCAGGGAGCCAAATGACAGACACAGCAGGCGATCAAGTGATACATGTTGGTCAAATACGGAAACATCAGACATGCAGAAACATCAGACATGCAGAAACATCAGACATGCAGCAACTGTTGTAGCAGGACAGGGACTTGTCCTTAGCTTTGTCTTCTGCTGGCTTTGTGACCTTGGGGAAGTCTGTAACCTCTCTGAGTCTTATACACTTCATTTGTAAAGCATGTTTGGCATCAGTTACAACTAAAATTCCTACTAGGCAGGAAGATATGGAAGACTTTCAATTCCCAAGTGAGACGCTATATATACCTTTATGAAAGAAATAGAACTGTTTGTTTCTTTCATTCTAAGAGCCTGAGTTAATCAACAGAATAGAGGACATGTGGGGAGGAAAAGAAAGATCTGTTGAAGAGATTTCTTTAAGAGAGATAAGTTTCTTTGTAATGTGTCTCCACCCAGAAACTCTATCAGATGAGAAAAAGAGAGTGTGTGTTGCATGGTGGGGCAGGAGTTGCTATTTTGTAATCCCCAGCCTGGTGAGTGAGCCCTCAGAGGCTCCTTTTAGAAACTTTGAAGAGATTTCCCTGATTCTGGGAAACACAGAGCCCATACACAAGAAAGCCAGAGCTGACTATAGATTACAGATACACAGAGCAGTGATTTTTTTTTTTCCCCAGGGAGGTTTTTGCTATAGGGAGTATGTGCTTGCCAGAGAGACACAGAGAGACAGAAAGTGAGAAATCACCTCCCCAGGGGGATGGCATATGGCAATCCCTTCTCCTCCGTTCTTCTCCTCCATTGGGATTTTGGGCACTCATGCACACATGCCTGGCATGAGTTTTAAGCCGCCAGGTCCAGGACTCAAACCATGGTCAACTGCATGGGAGTTCAGTGATGTAACACTACGCCATCTACTAGACCCCAGAGCTGTGTTTTTAACACAGATCTTGACTTATTAATGAATGGGGGTCTGAATAAGATGAAAGTAGGACTGCTCATTCTGGCCAAGATGTAATAACAAGATCGGGATTTACCTTCCCATTTTAATCAGAAGAAAAGGACAAAACAGTGATTTTTTCAGATATTGAACAGGAGGTTATACAGGATGAGGGCCCTAAGAGAAAGGAGGCAAAACGTGAATCCTGTAGGTACCCCAGCTCACCACCGTGAGCTAGTTTCCAAGCTATAGCACAGCTTGGGGAGCCCAACCGAGCCTGGGTCTTGCTGACTTGAAGCAACAGAGATCAACAGTTCTGCTATGCTAAGGCAGCTAGAATGTATAGGATAGGGTACCAGCGAGAACAGCAATGCAGATTGAAAGCTCAGGAGATCTGCAGAAAGGTCTCCTCAATTCTTTGAGTAATGATGACCACACAGGTGTGAGAAAACTGTCATAGCCCAGGGTTAGAATTAGCAGAAAGGGAGAGGAAGAATAACCTCCAAGGCTTGTATAGGTCTTATAATACATGGACATCTGATGAAGAATCCTCAAATCCATTGCCTTAAGTTTTTTTAGGAGAGATTTTTACTATAGGGTATGTGTACTTACCGGAGAGACAGAGAGAGATATAGAGACAGAAAGCAAGACATCACTCCCCAGATGGGATGGCCATGCTGCAATTCCTTCTCTTCATTCTCTTATCAGGCTCTTGGGCACACATGCACACACAACCAGGTCTGAGACTCAAAATGCGGTCGACTGTGTGGGAATCCAGCATTGTAACTATCACACCATTTGCTGGCCCCGCATTGTCTTAATATTAAGGCTAAAATAGCCTTACCTTAAATGTTGCTTAGGACCTGTCCTAACAATGCTTAAAAGCAAGCTTCAAGGGGCCAGTAGATGGCATAGTGGTTAAGGCTCTGGACACTCCCACATGTTCTACTGCAGTTTGAGTCCTGGACCTGGTGGCTTGCTTTCTCACTTTCACTCTCTCTCTCTGTCTCTCTGGTGAATTAAAATAATAACAATAATAATAATAATTAAATAAATCATTCTTTTTTTTTATAAAAAGCAAGCTTTGGAAGGATCCAACTTATCCAAGTAATTTAACTTCCTCCAGATCAAAATTCAAATTCTAGTAGCAATGAAAGGAACACAATAATGCAAAATTCACATTTACCAAGATCTGATTCACATTGTTGTGCGTGTGTGTCATTATATGTAAATGTTCTCAGCACAATGTGTGCCACATAGTAGATATCACCAACATTTATTCATTCAGATCTAAAGGTAAGCTTAGTGCATACACTATCATGATCATAATATCTATCCAAAGGATGTGGAATATATTATATATATATATTTTTTTTGGAGAGGTTTTTTTGCTATAGGGCGCGTGCGCTCGCCAGAAAGACAGAGAGAGACAGAGAGATAGAAAGCGAGAAATCACCCCCCAGAGGGGATGGCCACGCCACAATCCCTTCTCCTCCATTCTCTTCTTGGGATCTTGGGCACGCACACACATGCACCCGGTGTGAGTTTTTTAAGCCACCGGGTCCAGGACGTGAACCGTGGTCGACTACGTGGGAGTCCAACAACATAGCCATTATGCTAACTGCTGGTCTCAATGCTGAATATATTTTTAAATGTACTTATTTTTCTCATAACAGAGAGAGAGAGGGGCATCTCCCCCAAAGGGGCCTCATGCTGTGGTTCACCCCTGGCCTCAGGTGACCCCAGATCATGAGCACACGTGTGTGTCAGAGGAATTTCTGGATATGAACCCAGAACCCTCCCATGGGGCTCACAGAGGGTTCTCTTACTATTGCACTCCTGTCTGGCCCCAGGATTCTCAATTTTTGATCTGATCATTAGCAAAGACATAGTATCTACTTTTTAGTGTCTGCCTTCCCTCTGTAGAATCGAACACCGGGGCACTGTAGGGCTTTCATCTGCCTTGTTCACTGATTGACTCCCAGTACTTGCAATAGTACCCAGCACACAGGAGGTGCTCAGTAAATATCTGTTCCAAGAATAGGCATAATAGGCTGAGGAATCTCTTCCCAGAGATTCTCCCAGCTGAGTAATCTGGATCTCAGAATACACCAAATCTTCCTCTTTGGGGTGCACTGAAAAGAAAAGATAACACTTTCTAGAACATCCCCCTTGGCGTTATGTGTTGCAGATGATTCTTCTCAAGCATCTCCCCATTTTTCTTGGACACAAAGAAATAATAATTCATTGAGGGTATCAGGGGGACCAGGGCACTTCTCAAGGCTCTAACTAAGCACAGTGAGCTTTTCAGCTCCCTGGCTGAGACTGGGAGTGGCTCCGTCCATGGAACTCAACATTGCCGTATCACAACAGCTCCACTGGGGCAGGGTGGGTGGAGTAGGAGGACTCTCCGTGACCTGGGGTGGGAGCACTCCTGTGAGACATAGAAACACATGATAGTTCCCAGAGCATTAAAACATGCATAAGAGTAGGACGGGCATGGAGAGAGGAGAAGGCAAAAAGGACTAGGGGGAAGTCAGCAGTCACTAAGGAACTGGGAAACTTGAATGGCTTCATTGAACTTCAGTAGGTCTGTACAGAGTCCGATTGTTCTTTTGAAAGAAGCCCTGGGCAGGCTCATTGGGAATCAAGCCAGCGAGTCTCTGCTATCATAGAACTAATCATTATCTCGTAAGTAAAATGGTCACTCTTGTATGGTTAAAAACTGACTTTGGGCTGGCCCTATAGTACAGTGATTAAGCACTGTATATTGGGAGTTGGATCCCACATGGCTGACTGTGGTTCAAATCCTGACTCCAGCTGTTTGAGAAACAAGTGGGCATTTGTACATTTGTGCCCGGAATTCTGATGGGGAGGAGAAATGGAAAAGGGGGAATTGCGATGTAACTACACCCCCCTGGGGAGTACTTTCTCTCTCTCTCTGGTGACTGCACAGCCCTCTGGGCGGGGGGCAGTAGGGGAAGGAAAGGAAAGAAAAACTGCCCTCACCATCAGGATGTCATGGCTAAATGTCTTCACATTGTCATGTCTGGACAATTTAAGAAGGAATTAGACATGACCTATGCTCCAGTTCCTGATTGTTCCCTGACTGAGACACTGAGATAGACAGAAGAAGATTATATTTTCTAAACCAAAGTTAAGGATTCAAAATCTAATGAGTATGCGTGTACGTCTTGGGCAAGGAAGTGATTATTAGAAACGAGAAACAAGTGGGCATTTGTACATTTGTGCCCGGAATTCTGATGGGGAGGAGAAATGGAAAAGGGGGAATTGCGATGTAACTACACCCCCCTGGGGAGTACTTTCTCTCTCTCTCTGGTGACTGCACAGCCCTCTGGGCGGGGGGCAGTAGGGGAAGGAAAGGAAAGAAAAACTGCCCTCACCATCAGGATGTCATGGCTAAATGTCTTCACATTGTCATGTCTGGACAATTTAAGAAGGAATTAGACATGACCTATGCTCCAGTTCCTGATTGTTCCCTGACTGAGACACTGAGATAGACAGAAGAAGATTATATTTTCTAAACCAAAGTTAAGGATTCAAAATCTAATGAGTATGCGTGTACGTCTTGGGCAAGAAAGTGATTATTAGAAACTTAGACTTCCCAGGAAAATCTAGAATCTAGTCATGTACGTGTCATTTTAACAACACATTGTCTAACTAAAGGACCAGTCCATAAAGTCTATAACCTTTGGTATTATCCATTTAGGTGAATGCATTAATTTCAAATAAGAAAATGATCTAAAGACATGCATAATCTATAAAACAATTAGTTCACAAGAATGGTTCTAGAAAGCTTCATTTTGGGCCAACTCAAAGAGTGTGAAAAGGGAGCGCCTAACCACAGGTTGAAGAGAAATAACTTGACCTAGTTTTGCAACCCCACAAATTTGCATATTATGCACTTGGTAAACAAAAGAGGCTCTTTAGGGAAGCTGAGGACTCAACTGGTTTCTTCTCCCTTGAAACTCTCCCCTGCAAAATAAAGCAAAGGCATATTCATGTCAGCAGGGGGAGCTCTTTCTCAAACACACTGAGCTACCTGAAAGACCATTGATCAAGTAATTTAAAAAATGGGTCCAGTGCAGGATTCTCACAAAGACATTACAAAGATTTAAAAAAGGATTAAACAAAGCACACAGCTTAGATTAGCCACTGGCATGGTGATTAAGGCAGCTGGATCCCATATGGCAACAGCGTGGTTCAAGTCCCAGACCCCGCAGCTTGAAAAACACACCAGGTGCGCGTACTTGCGTGCCCAAAATCCCAAGAGAAGAATGGGGGAGAAGGGACTGTGGTCATTGCTCCTGGAGGATGCTTTCTCACGTTCCCTCTCTCTCTTTCTTTGTCTTTCTCTGGCGAGCTCACATACTCTCTAGTAGCAAAGACAAAACAAAACATCAAAAAAGTGTACAGCATTCTGGGGTAGGACTACACATTTCTTGGTTAAATATGCAAATGTTAGAGATTTTATTAGGGCTCAAGGCTGTGTTGATATACCTCAGGAACGAGCAAATAAAGTCAAATTGTCACTCTTGCAGAGTAGTGAGCTGTGGGTAGACTTTGAAGACCATTTATGGCCATGCCAGAGGAACCTCAGGCTCTGACACAAACCAGAGGAGACTTGTGGTCAGAGGTCCAAAGTTCCCCATGTCCAGTCCCCCATACTGAGCACACAGAATGTGGTGGCAAGTATCTGTAAAGCTGAATTGAACCGGATTGAATTAGACGACAGAGTGGAAGGATGTGGGCAACTGTTCTAGAGCTGGAGAAGGTTCTGTGCCTGTCTTCTACATCATGCTTTCCGGCATCTGAAACTAGTTTGACCTGGACAAAGACAAGAAGCTTTTGGAAACACATGGCAGATAAAGCCTGGAGAGACTGTCTCCCTGAGGTAGGGGAGGCTGACCTGTGGAGATGAGGGAAGTCTCTGAGAAAGCATGAAAACAGAAATTAGCCAGCTCCCACAGTCAGTCATTCTTCAGAATAGTATTTAGAATATTCATTTAAGGGAAATTTAGGGTAGGCAAAAGTATCTAGTAGGCCGGTCTGCATGAATCAAAGAAACCGCCTGAGGAAATTGGTTAGATAAAGCTCTTAAAAGTTTATAGTAAACATTTCACTCTTCCCTCCTTTTTACTTGAAATTAATAAACCAGATTAGATTCAAGCAGCTCCCACTTATCATGTCTATTTGGGAAAGCGCATGCTCAGGGAGGGTCTGAGAGCACAAGAGTGTTGGAGGTGGTGCGGTGCAGAGTGGTGGCATGGTGGTACTCAGGCTAGCTGGAGGCTGAGGTGTCTGAAGAAGGGATAGGGCAGGCACCCTAGCAAAGTTAAGGGAAGAATACAAATCTGATTTCCTCCAGCGCCAGAGGTAAGTCAGCAGGGTGCCAGCCATGAGGAGAACACCAAGCAGTCCCCCGATCGCTCCCACTACAAGAAGGCCATTTCTACTGCCTGGAGTCTCTATAGAGAAAAGATGTGTGTGAGCCCCAGGGGGAGAGGCTTAAAGCTTGGAACTGACATGAAACCCTAGAACCCTCCCTCAGTTTGGCTGGGGTCCTGTGCCCTGAGAGAGAAAGGACTCTAAGGACCTAAGCCTCATGAAGACCCCTGGGACTAGGCCATGACCAGAAGAGCTCACCTTGGGTGGGTTAGGGTTCAAGTGAACAGGAAGTAGCCTCCTTTACCTTCAGTGAATCATTTCAGAAACTGGCCATGTGGGGGAAACCCTGCTGTGTGTGTTGTATATATATAGCCCATGTTCTTGTAATATGGCTCGCTGGGAATTTCCCCCAGACGCGTGGAAAGATGTGGTTGTGGTTTGCAGCCTCTAACTTAGGGACAGCAGCCTCCCTGAGAGAGAAAGCAGATTTCATCATAGTCAAGGTCACCTACTGGAACAACTGCAATTCTGAGATTATGCCCCATTAAGAAATCATTAAGAAATCATATTGGGACACATCAGCAGGTGGTATGATGATTAAGGCACTGGACTCCCACATGGCTTACCAAGGTTTGAGCCCCAAATCTGGTGGCTTGCTTTTACTCTCTCTCTTTCTCTGTGTCTCTATGGTGAGTATGTGCCTTACAACAAACTTTAAAAATCAATTAATTAAATTAATAATTGTTTTTAAAAAAGAAAGTATTGATAGATTGGGGGTACCATGATGAAATGGCAGCAATCCCCTTCCTGTGCCTCATGTGTTCTGAAAGGCAGAGGAAAAAAAAAAAGAACTGATGGAAAAGTATATACAGTAAATTGTTGGGGGTTTCTGATTTTTCCATTGGGCTCATTCTCCTATCCTCTCATTTACTCATTCAGCGAACACTTAGGAAGCCTACCATGTGCCAGGTACTCTGATCTAAGTGTCAAACATGCCGCAGTGACCAAGATGGCAAATGTCCTGCCTTCACAGAGTTTATAGTGTAGGGAGGGAAGACAGTCAATAAACGAATAAATTCATAACATGTTGCATGGTGATAGGGGCTAAGAAGGAAATGCAGGATAGAGGGGCAAAGAATTAGGGATGGTGGTGATTTTCATGAAGATTCTTGATCCCCACACAAACCAAATTCAGACTTCAGATCCAAGTGCCACACAAGTGCACAGCGACACCAATGCTAATTTCCATTTCTTTCCATCTGTCAGACCTGGCACAGAGTGGCCATTGGGCAGTAATGGCTGGTGCCATTTCTGTTTTTATCCTCCCTTATTGACAAAACTGACAAACCTGCTGTTTGGCCTATTGATGGTTCTACCTATAGTGTGCGGGGGCAATCAACCCAGGCTCTCACCATGGCACCTAATCAAGACAGGAAGAGAGAAGGGAGAAGTGCAGGGATAGAGTACTTCGTCCTGTGTTGAATCTTTCCCCATTCTTTTTTTCTCACCTGTGCAGTCAGAATTTGCCACACATACCCATGCTTAGAATCCCAGATTCAAGGGGTTGAAGGTAAATTATCCCCTCTTCTTGGCAACTCTATTTCCTAGAAGAAATGGCTGCCCTGGGAGAAGTAATGAACATTGTCTTAGTTAGAAATACACAGATTCTAAAACCAGATTATTGGATTAGACACCTACTTCCCCCACTTAGCTAGTAGCTGTGTGGCCAGGGAAAGTTATTTAATCACCCTAGGTCTCCTTTTTCTCAATTTCCCCATCTGAAGATGGGACCTTAGGCAGGTAGAGTTAGATGAAGTCAGGAGGATAGGGCCCTCAGGATGGGACTAGTGCCCTTCTAAAACCATGGAGAGCAACTGTGGATACTAGAGAGAATGTGAGGAGAAGGTGGACAATAGGTGGAGGATGGGTATCAAGGCAAAAAAAAAATTAATGAACACAAAAATGGAAAATTATCTGTTGACTATAACACGTATGGTAGTTTCTTTGACTGGACTAATATGTAGCACATTCATGCTGGGAAAGTTGATTTTTGTATGTTGTAAAGAAGCAGAGTAAATGTAAAATAAAATTAATTAAATAGAGACAACACAGAGCTTGTTTCTGTTCTTGTTCTGCCTCATGAGGGTATAGGAAGGTGGTCTAAAAGACAGGAAGAGAGCCCTCACCAGAGCCCAGTCATGTTGGCACCTTGATCTCAGACTTCTGGCTTCTAGAAGTGAGGGAAATTGAAGTCTGTTATTTAAGCTGCTCCATGTATGGTATTTTGTTTTGGCAACCTGAGCAAATATAGTCCACCTGAGCCAGTGCTTCAGGTTCCTGTGGAGTTTCTTCCCCACTATAAAGCCTCTCATTTCTAAGCACAAAGATTCTGTACAAAGTCCATGAATGAAAACAGCTTCAGGGGAGCAGCTGGTGTTGTGTGCTACTGCAATGCTCTTCTGTGCTGGGCCCACATAGGAATGTCGTGGATTTGTGTCCGGAGGCCTCCCTGTCCATGCCAGGCATGCTTGTGTGTCCATGATCTGAGCTGGCTGAGGTGGGGGTGCAGGTGGGGTGTGATAGGGTTGTACGTCCCTCTCTCTGTCTTGCAAATTTAAAAAGGAAGAAAGAAAAGTATTAGGAGGAAGTCCCACCTCTTCAAATATCAACTGAATCCCTGGCATCTGTATAATCTCTGGGATCATCTGCTTCTCTCATGGAGGAATGACACCTACTTTGCAGAGCTGTGTGAGAGTGAAATGAAATTATATGTGTGAAGTGACCAGCTCCTGCTTGCATCAGGGGAGACTAATTCATTCTAATGACCCTGACCTCCAAAAGGAAGATGAGGAATTTACACTGAAGAGTGAATTAAAAACATTAATTTTTATGGCCAGCAGGTGGTTTGGTGGTTGAGGCACTGGATTCCCACATGGCTTACCATGGTTCTAGTCCTAAATCCAGCATCTTGGAAAATCATGCCAGGTACGTTTGTGTGTGCACCCAAAATCCCGAGGGGAGAGTAGAGGAGAAGGGATTGTAGCATGGTTATTTCCCCTAAGGCATGGTTTCTCACTTTTTTTCTCTCTCTCTCAAGTGAGTGTATGTGCCCTATAGCAAAAACCTAAGAAAACATTAATTATTACCCACCTCAGGGATTATAACCTCTGAGCTCCTCCTAGAGGTAAACTTTTGAACTTAAGTGCCTTCCTGGGGAAGTAACATCCCACCTTCAGGTTCACGGTGGATTTCAGGGTATACAGGAGTCTTCAAAGGGTGTCCTTGGCAGCTTTCAGCTTTGCTAGCCCCTTCTCTTCTTGCCCCAGCTGAATGAAATGCCATTGAAATGACATTGGCTTAGTGTCACCCCTTTTCTGTTGGGAAATATTCCCCATGTTGTTTCCAGGCTGAGAAGCAGATTCTTCTGCGGCAGCCAGTTCTAGGAAAACATCTCAGTCGTCTGACCTGGGAGGGCCCCTGCTTGATCACAGGATACGCCTCAAGGGAGTTGAAGGGAAACTTAGCAGCTGGGCCATGAGCACAGCAGCCCCTTCCCAGGTCCTCTAACTAAGCCTTCAGGTTGGTGGCTGACTGTCCCGCTGACTGTTCTAGCTGAATGCTCATAAACAACAGTTCCCTGCTTGGTTAGCAGGACTCACAGTAGGTACTTCTTGGGAGAACTTCGCCATTGTTCTCTGTCTCTCTGAGTTAAATGATTGGATCAAGGTTTAACTGGAGACTGCCATGTATTAGCTCTGTGACCCTATGCAAATGACCAAACTCTCTGAGCTTCACTTTCCTTTTAAGTACATTGGAGATAATATCTTTATATTCTAGAATTGCTTTCTGAGCTTCACTTTCCTTTTCAGTAGACTGGAGATAATATCTTTATATTCTAGAATTGCTACTACAATCAACAGGGATGATGTATGCACACTTAATTCATTCAACATATATTTATTGGATTCTTGAGTCAAGCGCTGTTTCAGGAACTTGGGATACAATAGTAGTGGAAGCAAAGATCCACCCTCATGAGGTTATTAGGGGAGGAAGTGGGAGATGGCAGCAAACAGGATCATACACGGCACAGTGGTTGGTGATAAGTGCCCCGGGACAAGAATCAAGCTGAACTGGGAGAGAAAGTTCTGGGTGAAGGCCTGCAGTTATGAAGGGTGGTTGGGGAAGGACTCACCAAGAAGGTGAGTAGAGTCTGGAGGAAGTGAAGCAGGGAGTATGAGAATATCAGGGAAGAGCAATGTGAAGGCCCTAAAGTAGGATCCTGCATGAAAAATTTGAGAAAAGAGATAGAGGGCAATGGTAGCTAGAGTGGAGATGGTGAGGGGAGAGTGCTGAGTGATAAAGTCGGAGTGGCAGGAGAGCCAGATAATGCAGGGCCTGGTGAGTCACTGACGGGATGCTGGTTGCCATTCTGAAGGAGACAAGCAGCCAGAGGAGGATTTTATGCAGAAGAGTGACATGATTTACTTAATGATTTAAGAGTTTCCTCTGATACTGTGTATGGATAGACTGGAACACAACAGGTGAAGGTGAATACCAGTTAGGATGTTGCTATGATTTATATAATGGTTTATCTTCCACACGTCCATGTCATATAATACAATCAGCCCTGGAGTCAGCAGTTGGCCTGGTGGTTGAGGGGCTAGGCTCCCATGTGACCAGTTGCAGTTTGAGTCCCAGACCTGGCAGCTTGCTTTCTCACTTTCCCTTTCTCTTTCTCTCTGTGAGCATGTGAGTCCTATAGCAAATTAAATAATACTAACAAAATTAGAAAAAAAAAATTGTCCCTAGTGGCATTGGGAGGTGGTAAGACCTTTAAGAGATGAGGCCTGGTGGGTGGTGTTTGGATGATAGAATCATTGCCCCGATGAAGGGCTTAATGCTGTCTCAGGAGTTGGAGTGAGTTCTAGCTCTTGTGAGATGGGATTAGTTCCTATAAGAGTGGGTTGATATTAAAGAAAGAGGGACTGCCCCCAGGTCTCTGTTTTTTCACGTGCCCAACATCAACCCTGTTACTGTTATCCATGTTGTGATGTAGTGCCAGAGGTTTGTCTGATGCTGGCCCCTATGTCTTTGGACTTTCCAGCCACTGGAATCATGAACCAAATAAACCTCTACTTTTTATAAATCTCCCAGCCTCAGGTGTTTTTTAGGGAACATAATAACAGACAAGACAGAAGTTATTTGCAAAAATACTGGCAAAGAATGCTGATGGCTTGGACCATGGTGGTAGTGGAGGTGATGAGAAGTAGTAAGAGTCAGACTATACTTTGAGGGAATATCCATCAAGATTTGCAGGTGATCGATAATGGAGGATGAAATAAAAAGGAGAGTCAAGGATAATGCTCAGAATTTTTACCTGAACAACTAGAAGATAGTTTTATATCGACTGAAGGGAGACTCTAATGAGGAATTATTTGGGGTAAAAAAAATCAAGAGTTTGGTTTCAGATGAATTAAGGTTGAGATGCTATTTAACTGTTCCTTTTTTAAAAAAATTGTGAGAGGGCAAGTGTGCTCATTAGAGAGAGGCAGAGAGATACATAAAGAGGGCAAGGGAGGAAGCACCCCCTCCAATGGAGTGTGTTCACACACATGCCCTTGCCAGGACTTGGCGCGTGTACACACACATATCCCACATATCTTTCAAACCACCAGAGTCTGGATTTGAACTGTGGTCAGCCATATGGGGGTTGGTCCCTTAACCTCTAAGGTATGGAACTGACCCTAAATAGCCAGTCTTATAAAATATTTGACTTAAATTGCAGATATATAGGTCTTGAGTTCAACTAGAAGTCTAGGCTGTACATTGAGTTTGAGAGTCATAAATACATAGAACTGTAATTGCATTTAGAGTAATAAACTGAGGTGAGATGACTTAGGGAGTGGGCACAGATAGCGAAGCCCTGGAACTCTTCAAAATTTGAATGTTGGAAATATGATGAGGATACAGAAAGGAAACCCAAAAGGAGTATCTGATAAATAGGGAGAGTACCAAGTGAGTTGTGCCCCTAAAGTCAAAGAGAAAAGTGTTTCCAGAAGTAGAGAAGGATCAATTGTGTTGAAAAATAGAGATAGGTCAAGTAAAGTGGAAACTGAGAATTCCTGCTTTTTTTTCTGGCCTTAGCAGCATGGAGATTATTAATTATCTCAAGACTAATCTTTTTTTTTTTTTTATATAGATAGATTTTTGCTATAGGGCACATGCACTGGTCAAAGAGACAGAAAGCAAGAAATCACTCCCTGGGAGAGCAGGGGGAATAACCACACAACAATCCCTTTTCCTCCATTCTCCTCTTGGGATTTTGGGCACACATGAATACATGCCCAGTGTAAGTTTCAAGCTGCCTAATCCAGGACTCAAACCGCAATTGGCCATGTGAGAGTTCAGTGACATAATCATTAAGCCATGTGCTAGTCCTTCTCATCTTGGTGTAGTGAGACAAACTTCATAATGAAAAGTTTGAGAGGAAAAATGGGAGAAGTGGAGTAAGTGCAGATAACTCTTTTGAGGAGTTTTATTGAAAAGGAAAGCAGGGAAATCTTTCTTTATGTAGCGTCTTAATAAAAGCTAATTTTATTGGATTGCCAGAGATGCAACTGGACCTGAGATAGAGGAGGAATTGAAGTCTGGTAGAGAGTACTTTCTTAGTGCCAAGGTTGCTAAGTGAGAACCTGGCACAATATAGCTTCTTGGAGACAGAGGAGAAGACTATGAGCCAAAACTATGAGATCCCTAAGGAAGATTCATCTCCTCAATGGACAAAGCCAGGCTCTGTATCTGTTCTTACTTAAAAGTTTCCTGACCTGCATGCAACCTAGGTATTGAGAACCCCACAGGCCAATAGTAAAGGAGTGCCTACTCCCTTTGGTTCTCTTGGACTTAAGGACACTAGTCTAATGTGCTGGGGGTGACTTACTGAAAGGTGAGGTATAATTAACACACAATGATGGGAGCATGAAGGTACAAATCACTTCCATCAGGCAAAATGGCTCCCGGCCAGCATTACCTCACCACAATATCATACTCTGACTTGCCTAAGTTATCACCATGACAATGGAAGACTTTATTTATTGCTGTGGAAGATGGCAAAATGGAAACAAAAGGGAGAGTCACACAGTAATGTCGGCTGTGCTCACTCCTAATTGGAGGAACTTAGCCCATGATAAAGAAGGTCAATGATGATTAAAACTCACCTCTCATAGTGATGGTCACCATCTGGGTCTGGATAGGGCCATGGCTGTTGTCAGCTGTGCAGTAGTACTTCCCAGCCAGGTTCGTCCTGACTTCTGGGATCTCCAAATCTGCTCTCTGGGCACGCTGAGCTTTTCTCCCCAGACTCTCCTCTGTATCCTCTCTGTGCCAAGAAAATGTGGTGTTCCCTGTGCCTTCGGCCACAGAACATACAAGGACAAATGTCTCCCCTTCTACCTCCTGGCCCCCTGGGGGCCAGGTCTCGATGGAGACTTGAGACAGAGGGATCCCTATGTGAACAGAAGACAGTGAGTGGGTCCTTGGGTGGGGAAGGCCAGAGCTAGGTTGTTGAAAAGGTCACTTTTATGGGATATACTCTTTGGCACTTTCTACCATTCTGGCCAGTGGACTGGGACTATCACTAAATATCACTACTGGAAATATCACTAAATATCCACCCGAGAGAGGCCTCAGGAGAGAACAATTAGCTATCCTTGGAGAAACGTGGGTTTAGTCTGATATCCTGGCTAGTGGTCTGAATTATTTAATATTTTCAGCTTGATTGAGGTACAATAGACAAATCGTTTTGGAGAGTAGGTAACAGCAACAGTGGCACTATGGCACTAGGCTGGACCGTACCTGTTTTCTGAAGTCCTGTTTCAGCCCCTAAGACAAGCTGGAAAGTATTAGGTTTAACTTTCTATGTATGTGTCTCCTCTTTTGTTGCACACATCACAGACACTCACATTGTTTTGTTTTGCTGTTAATTAGGAAGAGCTAGGTGCATGTCTTCTAAATAGTTTGCCCTGATATCTGGCATTCTAGAATCTGCCAGTTCAGTAGCAGGGCATCTTGTTTTCTTTTCCCCACCTCTCAAACATAACTCCATGAATTTACTTTAAGGTGACCAATTTCAAAGGAAGATTGAGTTTTTAGAGTAATAAAGGTAGAAATAAAGTCATGAATTTCTTTTATTACAGTATCTCGGTCCAGAGCCTCTGTTAGGATGACAAAACCCCATCTCTGTTGGACAGCTCCCATGCCAGGTCCCTCCGAAACAGAGAAGACTAGGGAAGATACACAGCCTTCCTGGCCAGGGAACTTACTCTGTACACGGATCTGCGGTGGGAGGCTGTGTCTTTAGATGCTGTGGGTCAGTTTCCGCACTACATTCAGTCTTCTCTCCAGATGGTTGGGATCTGGAGCTCCAGGGAGCTGCTCCAGGCTAACAGAATGACCCTATCATCTCTGAAGAAGGTGAAGTGGAGTGTCTGACCACTCTGGAGGGAGCTGTGTTTCACAGCTCAGCTTTACAGGACTCCCTTCTGTAGGCTGAGAAGCTGTGACTTTCAGCTTTGGATGTGGACATAGTTCTCAAGAGAAAAGGTAGATCAAATTCTTAGCATAAGAGTGTTTAGCTCTCCGAGAGAGACAACTTGTACTCTCATTGTCAGGAAACTTCAGGCACACACAGCAAGGCAAACTATGAACCCCTGGGTCACATTTTTCACTCTGATTTATTCAAGTTTACTCTCTCTGCTTTCTCTGTCTCTTAGAGGATGTAGCCTCCCTTCTGTCCAAGTTCCAGTATTAGCCTATAAATTCCCTCCCTCCATGCCCTATTTTCCCACCCTGACATTATAAGCAAATGTGTATGAAATGAAGGGTTTACCTTGAATTTTAATAATCTTGTAATTTGACCTAAATACGTAATTTTTGTCCCCAGATCCAATGCATTGATAAGAGCCACTATTATTTAAACTTGCTTGTGGGATAAGAAGATCCCAGTTTCTTGTAGAAGAAGAAATAGTTTTTCCCCTCCAAGTGTATTCCACAGCAGTGAGCTTCTCTTTCCTCTTTTCCAGCATGTCAGAACCAACATGTTGTCTGCAAACACAGAATGTGGGGCCTGCAGGATGAGGAATTCTGGAAACAGCACAAAGATTCCATCATTCGGGGAACCCTTACTACCTTCTTCCTTATGTCTCTTGAATGACAAGAGTTGTCCTCTTTTTTCTTCCACAGGGTTTCATCTCTTAATCTAAGCTCACTCATCTCCTTCCAAATCAATGTAAAATGTTTCAGATATAGTTTCTAAATAAATCCCAAACAATCTGTTCAACCATTCAAGGTCAAAGAATTCTAACACAGAGGGAGAAAAAAAATCCCTGATACTGGGCCAGCGTATGGCCTGGTGGTTAAGGAGTTAGATCCCACACGGCCATGCATGACTGGAATCCTGGACCTGACTGCTTGAAGAACACAGCTGGTCCATGTATGTGCATACTCCAAGTCCCAAAATTAGGGTGAAATGAAGGAGAAGGAATGGCAGCAATGTGACCATTCCCCACGGGGTGGAGGGGAGGGCTTTCTCCCTCTCTGTCTCTCTCTGAAGAGAGCATGAACCCTCCAACAACAACAACAAATTCCCAGCATCATAGAAAATGGCAAAAATCAACATCAACCAAATCTCAGAGCAGGATCTATTAAAAAAATGACCTAAATAAATAAATTAATTAATGAATAAATGAATAAGTAAATAAATAAAGGCAAGAGAAAGGTAAGTGAGACAAAAACAAACAAACAAACAAAAAATGACATCTGGAGGGTTCTTCAAAAAGTTCATAAAAAAACCATACATGGATTTCAATTTTTTGGTACCAAAATAAGCTCATACTTTAATTCCATTTTGCACAAACTCTGAAATTTCTTTGTATACAGGCAGATTTTGGTGCAGTGGAGTATGTGGCACAGCACGATTATTGTCAAAGATGCAAATCTAGGTTCAGGGGAGGATAAAATGTGCTCTTCGATGGAAATTCTCATGCTGCTCAGACTTTTTAAAAAGTTTTATTTATTATTATTATTTTGTTTACTATTCTATAGGGCATGTGTTCTTACTACAGAGACACACACACACATACACACAGAGGGAAAGTAAGAAAGCAAGCTGCCATGTTCAGGGCTTGAACTGCAGTCAGCCATGTGGAAGTCTAGTGCCTTAAATACTATGCCACCTGCTGACCTGCTGCTCAGACTTTAATTTGCCATTCATGCCTCCTCCTGATGGCTGATACTCCTGGAGTTCACCTATCCTTATCTCTAAACTGGGTAAAACTGGACAGGAAGAGGTATAGGAGCTTGGTACCAAGCAGAGTCATGTTGGAGGGAAGAAGGGAATGATACCTGGACAGGTGGGGATGAAAGACTGGAGGCTGGAGATTTCCCACTTCTCTGGCACTTTATGGGCAGTGCATTCCTGAGTGTGTAATTCTCCCTCACAAGGCTATTGCATCCTATAGGGCAGCGTCACCTTTGTACCCCCAAAATGAACTCATTTCTTTGACTATGTCAGTGTGCAAGAATGCTTGTTGATTAATATCTTTAAACTCAAGTTTCAATGGAAGTTTGAAAAAAATTTGCAGGACATGAAATCAAATATTAAAAGATCTAGAGGCCCGCAAGTGGTATAATGGTTAAGGTGCTAGGTTAAGGTCCCACATGGCTGTCCAGGATCCCAAGGCTTGAAAATGATGCTGTGTGTGTGTGTGTGTGTGTGTGTGTGTGTGTGTGTGTGTATGACCAAAATCTCTTCCATTTTGCACAAACTCTGAAATTTCTTTGTATACAGGCAGATTTTGGTGCAGTGGAGTATGTGGCACAGCACGATTATTGTCAAAGATGCAAATCTAGGTTCAGGGGAGGATAAAATGTGCTCTTCGATGGAAATTCTCATGCTGCTCAGACTTTTTAAAAAGTTTTATTTATTATTATTATTTTGTTTACTATTCTATAGGGCATGTGTTCTTACTACAGAGA